CTCTCTTTCTCTCCTCACTCTCGCTCTCTCTCTCTCCTCTCTCTCTCTCTCTCTCCCCCTTTCTCTCACTATCTCTATCTCTCTCTTTCTCTCACTCTCTCTCCCTCTCTCTTTCTTTCTTTCCATCTCTGTCTGTCAGTCTGTCTCAAACCCTCTGTCTTTCCCCCTGCCCATCTCTGTATCAGTCTTTTCTCAATCGTAGAACAGATTACTGCGCATCACACTGACAGGGTGTGACTCCCCTGACGATCCCAACAACAGCAACAGCAACAGAGAAAACCCACATATAAATTATTCGACTGTGATTCTCGTATCGAGCAATTATGCAGAGGAAAATATTCGTAATAGCCGGCGAACCGAGGGTTTTTCTTACCGAGTCCTCGTTACATTATTGCGTCGCGTTTCCCTGCCGTTCACCGTTTCGAAGAATAAGCAGATGAAAAGGAGAGAACTTTTTGTTTCGTCATTGTCATTGTCATTGTCATTGTCATTCTGCGAGTGAGGATTAATGATATCCTTATAATAATATGTTTGATTCCTTTCCTTATCTGATTTTCTTCTTTTTGCTTCGTTCTGCTTACAGGAGCACAGCAGCAACCCGGGCGATGTCTAGAGGTCGGTCGCAAGGTCACGCAGACGTCCGATCGGCGGATGTCCTGATTGGACGACGGGTTTCGCCGTCGTCGTGTTCATCTCTGCCGCCACCAGGGGGCAGCAGTGTGCGTGCGACAAAGTGGCGGCACTCATTTCTGGTGTTGTTGTTTTTTTTTCGTAAATTTCGCGCGTGTGCGTGTACGCGTGCCTGGTGCCCTATTCTCGTCACGATGTTTTTTGTGTTTTGATGCTCTCTCTCTCTCTCTCTCTCTCTCTCTCTCTCGCTCTATCTCTCTCCCCGTTCTGATTTTAACTATGGGCCGCATGCTGTTACAGGCGGTGGGACGCGGTCTAGCACTAACGCGTCCCCGACGATCGATTGAGCAACTTTGTAGACGAAACCGTTGTGGGGGGCGCGACGCCTGCATCAGTAGTATACGAGGGGGAGGAGCGTTGTTACGTGGGGTTTTTTTTCCAACCGTGGCGGTGACCACGATATTGATCACGATCGATTGATTAATTGTTTGATTGATTGATCATGGATGCAGTGATGATTGATGAGGGGGTTAGGCATGACCATTATAGAACATTACGTGTGTATTTTAGTAGCCGCGAGGCGAGAGAGAGACGATTCGTTATTTTGTGCAGACTTTTTAAAAGCTATTTAAGATGAAACGCGCGCACGCGCGAGAGAGGAGGAGGAGGAAGATTTTATGCGAGGGGATATTTTTGATGAGAGTATCTTGGGGCGTAATCTCATCGTTCGGGCGGCAACGCGGCGTCTTGTGCCGCCGCCGCCGCTGCGCGGGAGCAAGGAGCAGACGCCCAACGGTCGCCGCGGCAACGACGGAGGTTCACATCGGAGAGGAACCCGGGATCGCGTGAAGCAGGAGGGAGGAGGAGGAGGAGCAGGAGGAGGAGGAGGAGGATGGGTGATGCTCTTTAGGAGCCACCGTCTCACTGGAATGTCTCACCGGAGGAGTGGCCGCAGAAAGTCGCATCGTTGGAATGCATGCGCGCGTGCACGTGTGTGTGCGTGCGTGCGTGCGTGCGTGCGTGCTGGTTATCTTGCTTCAGCTGACGGGGGAAGAAGGAACGAGCCGTACTGCCGATGATTACCGTGGTTACGTACAGTCGTCATGGTTACCAGCAGCTGCCTCGGTAACGGGCGTCTGTTGTGCCGCGGCTCCCCCGTCGCCCCCTGGTTTTGTATAAGTTTTTTATTGTCCTAATCGTAGACGTTTTAACTATTTTTAGTTCGATCTTTATTTCTCCCCCTTTTTTAAATAATACAGTAATCATTAACGGTAGACGTAGCGAGTTGTTTCGTTTTGTCACACAGTCTGGTCTGCCGACGCACGTTTTACCGCGCACCGTCGTCGCAGTAGCCTATAATCCGATGATGCTCACTTGTAGGGGTAGAGGCGTAGGGTATGTTTAGTGGTAGGTAGTCAGTCGTGTGTGTGCGCGCGCGTTATTTGTGTAGAGGTTCGTGTGTGTGTGTGGGGTCGCGTGCCGGAGGAGGGGGAGGGGGGTGTAACACGCCGCGTTGTTTTTCTCTCTCGTGTAGATTGCAGGAACTGACCTGGGTTGTTCTTGTGTTTAGAGGTGGCGTGTGTTCGTGCGTCGTCGCGTCTCTTGTTCTCTCCGCGTGTGAGCATCATTCCAGTCTTCCACGGGGAAGAGGCTGCGTGCCCGTCGCAAAATCCGCGCGCAAGAGGTCGCCGCCGCCGCCGCCGTTCGAAAGGTCACCAGGTGTCATGGCGGCGGAGCGACGCCGAAGAGGTCGTGCGACGCGGCGGAGCGAGGCTCGGCTGTTCGCTTGTTTACGCGGATGAGAGGTTTGCGCGTGCCTAGGTGGCGCTGATGTACGTACGCGCATTTTGTCACGCGCAGTCTGAATGCAAGCGGTGTCTTTAAGTAGTGTGCGTGCGCGTGTGATGCCGGGGTGCGTGCGTGCGTGCGTGCGTGCGTGTGTGTGTGTGTGTGTGTGTGTGTGTGTGTGTGTGTGGTTGCTTACATGTTTATTGCACCAAGAGCCAACAGCGCGTGCAGACACAAACCCACCTGCCTTCTGCAAGACTTTTATTTATACCGATGGTTAATCATGTAACTCCAATAGTAGATGTCAGAACCATCATGCTTTTTATTTGTTGCTACGAAGGGCCGTGGACTTGAAGAGTGGATAGCCTATTGTTTATAGGTGACCGTTTTTGCGAATGTACATAGCATAGAAAAATATGGCTTCATTATATGAAGGAAAGTATGTATAATCTGCCGTTCGGAATGTCGCTGGGAGTTGTTTTTTGAAAATTTAATCGAACATATTTTGAACAGTGTAATTAATCTGATTATGGAACATTTTTTACGGGCCCAAGTTCTGTTGTTGCTTTTCGAATTCATGATGTTTTTATCGGATACAAAGTGCAAATACTTATTGCTAGTAGGTGGAGCCAGTGTTGCTGATTGTTAGTAGGTCATCTGCTGGCAGAGGTTGTTATACGAGGAAGCGAACTGGTTCAATGTATTTCCTCTTTTCCGTAGTCACCTTGTACTTTGTTTGTTCGTTTACAAGGGAATCTATCTATGCTACTCACTCTCATTGGGATTGTATTTTACTTGGGTTTAGGCTTTTAAGTAAATCTGTAAATATGTCGTTCTTTTTACGATAACAATAGCAAATTAACATATTGTTGATAGATTTTCTATCATGGCCTATAATTATACATAAACACGATCATATATCCCTGTTTTTTGGTATGTTTAATATAAACAGAAGCCCTATTTTTGTATGGAAACGATTTGAGAGCAATTTAGAAATCGGTCTGTACATATTGTTCAAGTTGTTGGTTAAGAAACACGAGGATGTATTGTATAACATCACCATTATCTTGTGATACAGTGTCTGTACATACGACCGTTTCTGTATATTTCTGATAGGGGGCGCAGTGGTGTATTTAACTGTATGGCATACCCCTGGTGGCAGATGAAGGTGGGTCTGCACGCGTCGTTGGCTCTGACTGTTACATACACTTGTCCTACATTGTGCAGAATCGCTTTGGTAGCTAGTAGTGGTATTATTCATATGGGAATTTGTTGTAGAAAACAAACAAAAAAAAGTAATGAAAATGCGACGATGACGACGATGATGATGATGATGTTGATGTCCGGGCGACGGTGCTGCCAGCTGGTGGCCGCCGCCGCCACCTCCCGCTCTGCTCTCGCACCTTCGCAGCGGATGATGATGATGATGATGTTGATGTCCGGGCGACGGTGCTGCCAGCTGGTGGCCGCCGCCGCCACCTCCCGCTCTGCTCTCGCACCTTCGCAGCGCTGCTCACAAACAGGAAAGCGGAGATTGAGAGAAAGAGACGCACGAGAGAGAACGAAAGTGATTAAAGAGTGCGAACGTGAGACAGAGAGAGGGTGGCGGCGGCTGGCATGACTGGCTGCACATGACCGTCGCCTAACTATATATAATATAACGTGATTGGTGCAAGCGCGTGAGCGTCGAGAGGATATCGTGGGAAAAAATTCGTAAAAAAAACTTGTAGTTCGTAGTTTTGCAGTGCTTGACAGCCACTAGATGTCGTGACAAGCTGTCGGGCATGCGTGCGTGCGTGCGTGCGTGAGTGAGTCACGCGGGTGCTTTGTACAGGGGGCGCTGCGGTACTCCCGCACACCTGTCGTCGTCGGTACGGCGACGTGATTGACTCTCGACACTGGTGCGTGCGCATGCGCCGAGCGTCGTCCCGCCAGGGCGGGCAGGGGGCGCCACCGGCGAGTGCCGCCGAAACAGGTGGCGCACTGCGAGGCAGTCGGCATAGATGGCGCCACGCGTGCGACACAGGAAGTGGCGTCGACGCCACCCTACGCTGGCATGTCTATTCCCGGGGGAATGATCCCTTGTGGTGCGGACTCCTGGCGGTTATTAGGGGGGAAAGTTCCCTGGCAGTCGCTCGTGCGTGCGCATGCGTCGGATGGGGGGGACGTCCGCTCGTGGGACGCGCATAACAAAAAGTGCAATCGTGTAACCATGGAAATTGTCTCGCGCCTTTTACTTTAGAAGGTCGGGTTGGTACAAGCGGTATCGAACACGTAGGGTTTGTTTGTTTGTTTGGGATCCGATGATCCGAACTTCGCATTGCTGGCGAGGTGGATTCGAATAAAATCCAACATGGCCACGCGTGAGTCGGCCAATCAGCGCTCGATGCTGGCTATGAACCAACCTGTGATTGGTCACATCGACAGGGTGATCTGTTGGAGGTGATTGGTTGGTAGGATTTTACTATATCTGTTTGAGCAGATCAAGACCAAGGGATCCAGAACGGACGGATCCGTTCCAAACAAACAGGCCCACAGATATCGTGACCTATGTCAGTGTCAGGTGTGGTAGGTGGTCGGTAGGTGGCGCGTGCTGCGCCACGCCTCCACAGTGTACGCGTTCATTGTTGGGAGTATAGCTATTATTTGTTGCATTTGGATAGTATGATGTTTGTGTGCGTATCTAAGACCTATGAACCCTGACTGACTTTAGGTCCATGGCCATTTAATGCAACGTTTTGTTGATATGAACAATAAAGCACCGGGTCAAGTTGACACCTGCCTTAGTCGTTTACATGTCTAGCTGTTTGCTTTTTTTCCTGCTAAATGTTAATTAAGATGCTGCTCTTAGGCCTCTTTTGCGATGCAACGGCGGGTAATAAGTTGTGCTGATACGGTCTATGTCTTCTTGGGTACTGCCGGTCACTGCGGCTGCTGTTGTCAATAACAACAATCAATCATATCAACAATCAACAAACAATAATGTCAGCAACTGTAACCGCAGAACTTTTTAGTAGCAACATTAGTGAGGTGGTACGGGAGTATACTAAGTAGAGACAAATAAAATAAATCCATAGCACGAGAAGTAAATAGATGAGAAAATACATTGTACATGATAAATACATTTATTACGCAAACTGTCCGAGAAACCAAGTGACATTAAAAAAATATAATGAAAAATATAAAGGATCCTGGAGGTGTCCCTAAGGATCCACAGCAACAACAACAACAACAACTAACAACAAACAACAACACAGCAACAAGACAATTCTAGAACTTTCAACGCGTAGATCAGCTGGTCACCTGACCTGTGTCCGCGTGAATGCGCATGGGAGCTCCAATGTAAAATAAAGTCAGCCACGTTATGATAGCGTGGCAATACAAGGCTACATGCACAATGCGCGTGCGCGTGTGTGTGCGCCTGCGTGCGTGCTTGCGTGCGTGCGTGTGTGTGCGCCTGCGTGCGTGCTTGCGTGCGTGCGTGTGTGTGCGATGAATTACCGATAGCTTCATTGTCATATGTTTGTATGTGGCTGCCGTGCAGCGCTGGCAACACAGATGCTCGTGTTTGTCATCGCGACAGCCAGCCAGCATGCAATTTGTTGCCAAGGAAGGAAAGGCTGAAAAGCGCGTCGCCAGTTACACCGCTCTAAAAAACTGCCTACATTTAACCTGCCGCCGACAGCAGTACGCTACGACGACGCTTTTTTAATGTTGTCGGTAAAATGCACGCTTAAACTCGTTTAAATCAAGCACGTTAAACGCGCTGTTGGCCTGCGATGGTGGTGCCACCGCACGTGGTTACAATATGAAAGCAAAGACGTCGTAGTTGGCGTCACCAGTAGCATGATCAGTGATCCGCCTATATACTTTCCAGCGATACTACCCACCGATATTTTCCACCGATAATTATTACCGATACTTTCTACCGATACTTTCCACCAATACTTACGAAACAGGGAAACAATCCCACATACAACAAATTTACAAGGGCACAGCGAATAGTATTTAGCACGAGATTCCCACAAGAACGCGTCCAGAAGTAAACCTCTACCGATACTTTCCACCAATACTTTCCACCAGTACTTTCCACCGATATTTTCCACCAATACTTTCTACCAATACTTACGAAACAGGAAAACAACTTCACGTACAACAAATTTACAAGGGGACAGCGAATAGTATTTAGCACGAGATTCATATAAGAATGCATCCAGAAGTAAATGTCTGCCGATAGTTTCCACCGATACTATCCACCTATACTTTCCACCGATATTTTCCACCGATATTTTCCACCAATACTTACGAAACAGGGAAACAATCCCACATACAACAAATTTACAAGGCCACAGCGAATAATATATATTTAGCGCGATATTCACACAAAAACACGTCCAGAAGCAAACGTTTACTGATACTTTCCACCGATGCTTTCCACCGATACTTTCCACCGATACTTACGAAACAGGGAAACAACTCCACGTACAACAAATTTACAAGGGGACAGCGAATAATATTTAGCGCGAGATTTGCACAAGAACGCGTCCAGAAGTAAACGTCTACCGATACTTTCCACCGATACTATCCATCTATACTTTCCACCGATATTTTCCACTGATACTTTCCACCGATACATATACAAAACAGGAAAACAACCCCACGTACAACAAATTTACAAGGCCACATCGAATAATATTAATTTAGCGCGATATTCACATAAAAACACGTCCAGAAGCAAACGTTCACCGATACTTTCCACCGATACTTTCCACCGATACTTACGAAACAGGGAAGCAACCCCACGTACAACAAATTTACAAGGGCACAGCGAATAATTTTTTGCGCGATATTCACACAAAAACACGTCCAGAAGTAAACATCTATGCAGCGATACTTTCCACCGATACTATCCACCGATACTTTCCATTGATACTTTCCACCGATACTTTCCACCGATACTTTTCACCAATATTTTCCACTGATGCTGTCCACCAATACTTACGAAACAGGAAAACAACTTCACGTACAACAAATTTACAAGGCCACAGCGAATAATATTTTGCACGAGATTCACACAAAAACGCGTCCAGAAATAAACGTCCACCGATACTTTCCAGCGACGATTCCACCGATACTTTCCACCGATACTTTTCACCAATACTTTCCACCAATACTTTCTGCTGATACTTTCCACCGATACTTTCTGCCTATACTTTCCACAAAACCTTTCGAAACAGGTAAAACGATAACAGCGCGTACAATAGACAGAGCACAGCGAGTTTTATAATTAGCAAACGATTCACACAAACACGGTGACGACAGGCTAACAGGAGTTTTCCCTTGGGTACTGCCGGTCACTGCGGCTGCTGTTGTCAATAACAACAATCAATCATATCAACAATCAACAATCAATAATGTCAGCAACTGTAACAGCAGAACCTTTTAGTAGCAACATTAGTGAGTGGGTACGGGAGTATACTAAGTAGAGACAAATAAAATAAATCCATAGCACGAGAAATAAATAGATGAGAAAATACATTGTACATGATAAATACATTTATTACGTAAACTGTCCGAGAAACCAAGTGACATTAAAAAAATATAATGAAAAATATAAAGGATCCTGGAGGTGTCCCTAAGGATCCACAGCAACAACAACCAACAACACAGCAACAAACACCAACACAGCAACAACTAACAACAACCAGCAACAAACAACCAACAACACAGCAACAAACAACCAACAACACAGCAACAAACAACAAACAACACAGCAACACAGCAACAAACAACAAACAACAACAACCAACAACACAGTTCTAGAACTTTCAACGCGTAGATCAGCTGGTCACCTGACCTGTGTCCGCGTGAATGCGCATGGGAGCTCCAATGTAAAATAAAGTCAGCCACGTTATGATAGCGTGCCTAGGCTACATGCACAATGCGCGTGCGCGTGTGTGTGCGTGCGTGCGTGCGTGCGTGTGTGTGCGATGAATCACCGATAGCTTAATTGTCATATGTTTGTATGTGGCTGCCGTGCAGCGCTGGCGACACAAAGGCTCGTGTTTGTCATCGCGACAGCCAGCCAGCATTCAATTTGTTGCCAAGGAAGGAAAGGCTAAAAAGCGCGTCGCCAGTTACACCGCTCCAAAAAACTGCCTACATTTAACCTGCCGCCGACAGCAGTACGCTACGCCGACGCTCTTTTAATGTTGTCGGTAAAATGCACGTTTAAACTCGTTTAAATCAAACACGTTAAACGCGCTAATGGCCTGCGATGGTGGTGCCACCGCACGTGGTTACAATATGAAAGCAAAGACGTCGTAGTTGGCGTCACCAGTAGCATGATCAGTGACCCTGGCCCGCGCTAGCATAACTAGACAGTAGCTCCGACTCTAGCAGAAAACGACGACGACAAAGACGACGACGACGGCGACGACGACGACGACGACAACGACGACGGTGACAACGGCGACAACGACGACGACGACGACGACGACGAAGACGAATAAGAATTAGAGGACGGCGACGACGACGACGACAGCATGAAGCAGCCGAGCACAGACGCAGAGTCGCATCAGCGGCTGGCGTCTGTCTTCGCTGAGCAGACGAGCGCTCACGGCATCAAGCACGTCGCCATCTCTAAACCCGGCCCGCTGCGTCTGCTTTGGCTCTCCCTCGTCGTCGGCTCGCTCGGCTTTATCATCTACACCACTGCTACGCTCGTGCATAAGTACACGCGCTGGCAGACGAAGGTGTCGCTCAGCGTCGAGTCCGCGGTCGGTCGGGAGCTGCCGTACGTGACCGTGTGCAATAAGAACCCGTTTCTCATAGATCAGCTGCGGGACCGCACCGATTTCGACTACTCGTGGTTTCTAAGCGAGGAGTTGTTGGACGGGACGGGGAAAACGATGGAGGATATCCGGGATGAGATCCAACGGGTTCGTATGACCGCCGTTAAGTGTTATAGTCTGGTGTGCGGTGTGTGTGTGTGTTTCTG